TTCAAACACTCCCAACAATTTGTCAGGCTACCGTTGTGTCATTTCTGACTCCAAATAGATCAAAAAGGAAAGACGTGTCATTCATGGAGCGTAAATGCCACAAACTACTTTGAGCTCATGGCTGACTTGTTTCGCGCGCTTTGCTCACATGGCATCAACTCTCTCAGACGTTCTATTTCTCCAATCTCTGGAATGATTCAGTAAAAGAAATGGTCGACATGTCTGCGGTGCTCTGTTCAAAGGCATGATTTGGACTCAACTACAAAAAAATAGACATGACAATTTCCTGCTAGAAGAGCCAGGTGCTTTTGCTAATCCAACCACGAATGTCTCCAGCCAAATTGTCGACAAACTGGCTCTCCACCTCCTCCAAAGCTCGGAAAGCTTCACTCCGTCGCTGGGTGCGTCCCACCTTCGCTCGCCAAGCCCCGGATGAACCGCGGAAACCCGTTGGAAAAAAAATGCAAATAAAATCACGCTGTGATACGCTGTGGCACTGCCATGCATGGGAGTGGGGGTTCATCTTCATCATTTGTTTACAGCACATCATCGTGTATATACATGCATGCAATCATATACATGAATTGAACCGCCCAAAGTTTCACCTCCCTCTTCAATTGGCAACCATAGTATAACCACCGTGCGTTCAATGATGCCATGAACATGTCACCTTGGGCACAATTACTTCCAAAGGGCCAGAGTGGCCAGAGGAGGGGCGAGGTGGGACCTTCTCTCGTCATCTTGTCCTTTTGACCTTGGAACTCAACTGTCGCCCTAGTTCCTTTAAGGCTGGGCGTTTTTTGCCAGACTGTTCCAGTTTAGGTCTCAGTGAGATCCGGAAGAACCTGAAAAAGGTTCAGCGGTTTGAAACCCGACCTGCTGCCTGATGCTCCCAGATGCTGCCTGATGCTCCTTCGGTCCAAGCATCAAAGTTGCTTTTAAAATATGTTCCTTTCTGCATCCGCTTTTTGTCACTCCTGGAGGTTCTTTTTTGGTTGGGTGATTGGTCATGCAAGCAGATTTGGCGGGGCAGGAGAGGAGCACACAATAAATTTTAGCATCGGGATCGGTTCAGACCTTCAAACAGCTGCTTTTTCGTTCACCCGATTGTGCCAAGAATTGTAAAAGTGAAAATTCCTGTCTATGGGATAGCAGTGACGTCAGGCTTTACGAGACGTCTTGCGTGTGACACATGTCTTTTTTCCCAAACATCTCCGATGCTTGGGTTCTCGTTTAGTCGCCAGTGCCGCGGAAGAGCGAGACAAAGCGTGCGTTGTCGGGGACGGAAGAAGGTAGGCGGACGGGGTTGGGAAAGGAAGAGGGAGGGGAAGGAAGGGAGGGGAGCGAGACAGGAGGCGCATGGGTGGGGACGGGACTGGGGAGGGAAGATGGAGGGAAGCGAGACGGGAGGCGCATGGGTGGGCGAGACGGGAGGCGCATGGACGGGGCTGGGGAGGGAAGATGAGGGGAGCGAGACGGGAGGCGCATGGGTCATGGGTGTGGGGAGCGAAGATGGAGGAGAGCGAGGGGGAGCGAGACGGGAGGTGCATGGATGGGGACGGGGCTGGGGAGGGAAGATGGAGGGAGGCGCAGATCAAGTCCATATCAAATGCCCCGTCACCTGATCTTACCGATGCTTTTGAAGGCTACTTTAAAGCGCGGAACTGGTGAAACATTGGAGGTGCCTGGGTAAATTGTACTCTGAGAACAATGATGCACGCCAAAGCATTCAATGTAATCCTTTGAAACCCGTGCTGGGGAAATATCTATGCAAGCCACATCAGTATCAATTAGTAGACCACAACCCATTGATGAGGGTTTTTTACAGTGCTTCGTTCAAAGACATGATTGATGCACAACAACATATGGACAAAACAACAAGCCAAGTGCTCCTGCACAAATCACAAGTGACTCCGCTAACTGTCAACAAACCGGTGCTCCACCTCCTCCGAAGCACTGATGAACGCTTTGCTCGGTTGCTGGGGCTTTCCACCTGGGGTCTGTTCCACAATGATGATACCAAAGGTCCGAAGCACAAACATCTCAAGTAAGACTAAGAACTGTTCAAAACGAAAATGCCGAGCTGACGTGTTTCTTCTTTGTTGTGCCCCAACAAGCCTTGATGGGTCTCCTACTAGACTTTGACGCTTCGTTGTCTGCTACACAGCTACTCTCACTACCACAAAACTCAAATGTCAAATTCGTTGCACCCTGTTGTGCATGGGACGAAGGACTGAAGCCCTCATGTCACGCAAAACCGTCTTTGGTTGAAACGCAGGCCATTGCACATTCCACTGTCACTTGAGATGCATGTGAAGCGGCTCCCAGTTGGCTTGCAGTGTCCATTTGCATTCGATCTCCTGCTTGTTGAGATCAATCTGGCTCATTCGCAGTCGAACCTCGTCAAAAAGGCACAAGTTCGAGAGACGCAAGAGAGAAATGGGGACGGATGTCGCCGACACCGTTTCGAGAATCCGAGAAGCAAAAAATATCTGAGTGTACTCCTGAATCTCTCGCGAGGTGAGGACATTCGTCTGGGTTTGTTGTGGACAGTTTGGCCGAGCAATGAGAAAACTAATAGAGGTCAGGCAGTGAAGCTTCATGAAAGCCCGCTTGTCGCGCAGGCTGTAGTCTCTAGTTCGCATCCAGGTCACTTGCATTTGTTCATGAGTCAAGCTACGGCTATTCCTAATAGTGGACTTCACCTGGGCATGGTTGTGTCACTATGCCTTGGGTATCATTGACCCCGGTGAAACTCCAACCATGTTATGTTCAACCTGCAGGTACATTCCAACCTGCAGTAAGTGCGTTGTCCGCCAACATGGCCCGACTGTGCTTTCTGTCGGAGAACACACAAAATGTCATAATCTGGCAGCTCTGGTAGATGTCTGTCTGTACGAAAAAGTCAAGAACCACATGAGCAGGCCAATCAATAGACCATCAAAAGTCATGTATAGCGAGACTCTCCTTGCAAAGCTCCACGCACCCCCTGGATATCTATTGGAGCGTTCAGCTTTGATCTTTTCTTGCGAGGCTGCTGTTTCAAACTTCAGATTGTGTGGTTGAGTGCTGATTCATGGAAAAGGAAAACCCAAGCCATAATGCAAGAAGCAACAAAAGAGAAGATTGAACATAAGGACGCGACAAAAGCCCATATTGCTCCTGTGGAGAGGAACCAGGCTCGGAGGTGGCGCAGCCCAAATACCACCCCAATCGCACCAGTAACACCAGTAACAAGTGCGATGAACAATATGAAGTAGTCCAGCCATGAAGCTTGCTTGTCTATTGAGATTGTGTGGTTGAGTGCAATAGATTCATGCTGGCCACGGCCTTGGGACTGCTTCTTCCTCACTCCTGAGTCCTGTCCTGACTCCTGTATTTGCACTGCAGGTTGGTGATACCGCCACGCTTCGATAAACAGAAGTAAGAAGAAGAGGATAATGACTATCGGCCGTATTCGTCTACCATGATGCTCATAGTTGACCCACGCAAAAAGCGTGCACCCTGCAACCAGGAGAGCCACAACAGCACTTGCTAAGAAGAGGAACACCTTCAATGGCCAACCAAGCACCGCACCAAATACAAAAATGCACAGGGAAAGAATGCAAACTGCAAGGAATATATGTACCATCCAGTGCAGCTCACTACCCAATCTGGTGTACAACGTCCAAATCGAGCCAATCACACCAAGCACCCCAATGATCGCAGTTGACACCAAGAAAAAGTCCTGCACTGGCCAACCATGCAGCCACTGCAAGAAGCATACCACGAAAGCACTTAGACTTGTCATCCCAAGGTTCAATAACACCAAAAGGGGATCGCGATCAACGATGTTTGTACTTGCTGCTTGGTACACAAGAATCAAATCCCACAGAAAGCTCAATATTGGGAGCATCGATGAGCTGAAG